TATCGTCCTTAGCTGGCTCCACGATTGCCCACAGGCTCTAATCGCCTCTTCATACGATCTTCTTCATGTCACCCTTGGACGCCTCACTCTTCATTGCCCATTCAGCTGCCATGCGAGTAATGGCCTGCATTATGAACGACGTCATCTAATGGTCTCTTCAGCGTGTGTCTAGACCATCTCCATTTTCGTCTACATATTCATTGAACAGCGGGTTCTTAATTCGTTTGTTCTGAAAGTTTCTCGTTGCTAATCCTTTCTAGCCGGCCATTTAGTCTTCAGTATTGAGTCAGTGAAGGGAATTGCCGATAAAAGTCTAAGACGATGACGGGGATGACCTTCATCACTCATCAAGTTTATGACCCGTATAGAAGAACTGACCGAATTCAAATTTATGTTGGAAATCTGAATCTTGTTCTTCATGCTGAGTCAGTGCAGAACATTTCAAACTGTTTTCAGACTGATAAAGGTGTATATTGCCTTTCCAATTCGCTTTGACACCTTCATCCGTGCCGTGTGTCTGTAGTCGAACGATGCTTCCTAGATGAGTGAAGGATGTAACCTATGTTAAATATCTCCCGTTGATGGTGATTGGTGCTGGGTGTTATTTTATTGGTTGGTTATCTTCAATATATCCGTCTTCTCTATGTTCATCTGGAGTCCTGTCTTCTCCGTCAGCCTCTTCTGCCAGTTTATTGCTTTCAGCCTTTATTATTATTATTGCTCCCTTGGGTTCCTAGTGGAATATAGGGCTTCAACTGCACGTCTCCATTTGCTTCTCTCTTCTGCTGTACTTTTCGCCTGCATCCATCTTAGGCCATACTCTTTCAACTCCTCTTCACACGATCTCCTCCATGTCACCCTTAGACGTCCCACACGCCGCTTCCCTTTCGGGTTCCACTCGAGGGCTTGACGCGCGATGTCACCCAGTGACCTCCTCAGCGAGTGTCCGATCCATCTCCACTTTCTCCTGCATATTTGTTGGGCGATTGGTTCTTGCTTTGTTTGTTCCCATAATTCCTTGTTGGTGATTCTTTCCGGCCGGCCATCTGATCTTCAGTAAAGAGCGAAGACAGTTGTTAATAAAGGTCTGCAACCTTTTGGAAATATTCTTTGTGACCCGCCAAGTTTCTGATCCGTATTGTAGAACTAACTGACTTGCGTTTGTATTGAAAATCCGAATTTTGTTGGTGATCGGCTGAGTGACGAAGATTTCCAGATTGATTTCAGGTTGATGAATGTGTTTCTCGCCTTCCCGATTCTCGCTCGATTTGACATCCTCGTCCGTTCCGACTTCCTGTAGTTGAGACAATGCTCCCTAGATAAGTGAATGAAGTAACCTCTTTCAAATCCCTCCCGTTGATGGTGATTGACGCTGGATGTTGCTGCTGCTGTTGTTGGTGTTGTGGTTATTTTCATAACCTCCGTCTTGTCTATGTTCACCTGGAGTCCTGTCTTCACCGGTTGCTTCTTCGACCAGTTTGTCGGTTTTCGCTTGTAAGTCTTCGATTTTGTGTGACATCAAACATAAATCATCCACGCTCGAAATCCAGGTCTTCTAGGTTCTTCACGTCGGTCCAGGATATTCCTGTCTTCTCGTTTCCCACTGTCTGACGCATAATCCAGTCAGTCACCAAAATTAGGAATATCATTGGTGATAGTAAGCACCCTTGTGTTTACTCCAAACGCCTCGCTGAGTTTTCCGTTGTGGATCACTTGACATGTGCCGTTGTCGTACAGCTGTTGAATAAGGTTGATGAATATTTGGGGTACGCCGTAGTACTCGAGTAATTTCCAAATTACTTCACGGTCAACGCTGTCGAAGGCCTTCTCAAAGTCTATAAAGTTGAGGTAGAGGTTTGATCGCCATTCCATGCTTTGTTCGGTGATGATGCGTAGAGTTGCAATTTGGTCAGTACATGATTTGCCTTTCCTGAATCCAGCTTGTTCTGGTCGGAGTTCTGTCTCCAGTGCGTCCTTTAATCTCTCCAGGATGATGCGACTCAGGATTTTACTTGGCGTCGACAGGAGCATGATTCCTCGCCAGTTCTTGCAGAGTGAGGCGAAAGTCGCCCTTCTTTGGTAGTTTCACGAGGTAACCTTTCCTCCAGTCAGTAGGCACCTTTCCCTCCTTCCAGACCTTTTGCAATAATGTAGTCTTTGGTTCCGCTTTCAGTGCTTCAGGGGGTATTCCATCTGGTCCGGCTGCTTTTCCAGCTTTCAGAAGCTTGATTGCATTCAAGACTTCAGCTCTCGTTGGAGGATTGGTGTCAACTTGCAGTTGTGTGCGCGCTGTTGTTGGTATTTCTGGACGGGTTGCAGGTGATGGTCGGTTCAAGAGTCCTTTGAAGTGATCCGCCCATTGTTTAATCTGTTTTTCTTCCTTGGTAATTGGGTTCCCTTGGCTGTCTTTTATAGGTTTCGCTTGTGTTGGTCTCTTCCCGGATAGAGATTTGGTTATCTGATATAGTGTCCTCAGGTCCCTTTTGCCTGCTGCCTTCTCAGCTTCAGTGGCGAGGTAGTTGTCGTAGAATCGTCTTTTGTCCTTCCTAGCACTCTTCTTCACTTCTTTGTCCAGTGCTGTGTAAGTTGAGCTCAGCGTCTCCTTCTCCTGTCCGTCCTTGCATTGAATCATTTTCTCTTTCACCATTCTCCTCTCTTCTATTAATTTCCAAGTGTCCGTTGAGAGCCATTCCTTGTCTTGTCTCTTCTTTCTTCCTAGAACCGTTGAACACGTTTCGTTGAGAATCGCCTTCAGAGACTTCCAATGTTCTTCCACGCATGATTCTTCAGTGATGTCGCGTAGTGTTTCCTGCTTTGCTCTGACAGTTGCAGTGGAAGTGTCTTTTGTGGTTGTGTCCTTCAGTTTCTGAGTGTTGAACTTGCATTGTGGCCTATCCCCAGCTATCCTCGAGGCTTTTAGTTTCACCTTGAAAGTCCCTTGTACTAGATAGTGGTCTGAACCCACATCTGCTCCTCTCCTTGACCTTGTGTCCAGTAGGCTCCGTCTCCACTTTCTTGAAATTGAGATGAAGTCTATTTGGTTTTTGGTGTTTCCATCTGGTGAAATCCATGTCGTCTTGTGTATATCCTTGTGTTTGAACACACTACCGCCAATCACCAAATCATTGAAGGCGCAGAAGTCTGAGAAGAGTTCACCATTGTCGTTCATTTCGCCGAGGGCCTCACGACCCATGGTGAGTTCTCTTCCTGTGTTGTCTCCTCCCAGCTTCGCATTCATGTCGCCCATCAGGATTTTGATATCGCCATTTGGGACGTTGTCCATTATTGCTTGTAGTTGTCTGTAGAACGCCTCCTTCTTCTCTTGTTCTGAGACGTTTGTAGGCGCATAGCATTGAATGACTGTAACTTTCCTTCCTTTTGAGTTGAACCTGGCTGTCATTATCCTGGAGGAGATTGGTTCCCACTGCATGAGAGCTTTGGTTGCTGTTGGTGACATCATGATGGCCACTCCCTCGGTGTGCTCATGGTTGTCCTCTGGGTGGCCGGAATAGATTACTGTCTCTCCAGTAGGTAGTTGGCACCTTCCAGTTCCGTTCCATCTGCTCTCGCAGATTCCCAACACTTCTATTCTGTACCTTCTCATTTCAGCGGCTATCTGGGCAGCCTTTCCAGTTTCGTACATTGTACGAACATTCCAGGTACCCATCCTTACTTTTGCTTTCATCGAAAGAAGGCACATCGGCTGACTGGCTTCCCGAAGGCTTTCACCAGCCTGCGTCATTTCACTTCCCCGATTCCAGCGAAAAGTAAGGCTATTGCTTATGTTTTTAGAATTTTTAATATATTTATTCGTTGAAGTTTCTGTAGCGATTTGGTTGTTTTACTGGGATGGAGTTGCTAGCACCACGCCCCAACCCTCCCGGGCTTGGGACCGGCGAAAAAACTAGTAAGCTAGTAGCCTAGCAAGCTAGTATCTGGCGAGGTTAAGCCAGCCTTTGATTTTGTGTGAAATTAAACGTTAATCATCCACACTCGAAATCAAGATATTCTAGAGTTTTCTTACTGGTGGTTTAGCGTGTTCCTGTCCTCCCACTAACTGTGCACAGTCTGATGCATAATTCAGTCCACCACAATTAGGAATGTCACCTGTGATAATAAGTAGGCAGTCATTCTTACTTTTTCTTCAGTTCAAAGGCTTCACTGAGTTTTCCGCCGTAGATCATCTGACACGAGGCACTGTCATATATATGTTAAATGACGTTGATTAAGATTTTGGGACAAGCCATATTGTTGAAGATGACTTTTTTGGCTTAACTTGATGCTGTTATCACAGTTTTCGTCTGAACTAAGAAAAATAGTATCTTAAGTCACTCAGGATTACTTTTATTAGTCTCTGAAATATGCCATAAATAGGGATTTCGGAATATTATTCTTTCCAGACATGTTTCGAAACACCAGTAATCCATGCGTTTCTGCAAGCTGTCAGGCATGCCACCTAGTCTGATTTATTACAGTTACTGAACGTCACAGACAGCTTGCTACATGGTGCTTTGTTGGTTACATCAAGGTGGAAGTTATTTCATTAATTTCACCTGAATGGTAACACTGACATTAACCCGTCAGCATGTTCTATAGAAATTCAAACAAACAGACATTGAAATAAGGTTGAAAGTAAAAGAAAAAATTAGAACTTTACTACAAGTTTTGCCAAAATGTCTAGAGGGGGGATCTGTTTGCAGAAACACTGACTTATCATTCCATATTTATAATTCGATTAGGGTGAAAATGTTAAATAAGGTATCTAGTGGATATCGATGGAGATTTTCACCGTTTAAAAAAGCAGAAGACTCGCTTCCGACGCATCTGCAGCTCTGATACCCAGAAAGAAGAACTACGCTTACTGAAAGAAATCATCCTACAAAATGGTTATCCATTAAGATTAGTAGACAAAAACATCATACAGAAAATCCAAAAGCAAGAGACACAATCCGTGCCAAAAAAGACACTTTATATGAACCTTAACTTCAAAGGTGACCTACTCAGTGATGTCCTTAGAAGAAGAATTTCGACTTCTTTGAGAAGAACTTTCTTTGTGGCAACATTGAGAGTAGTGTTTTCCAGTTGCCCGCTGATCTGCAGAAGCCCAAAGGACAAGATCCCGCACATGATCACTTCTCTGTGTATATAGCAGTTCACCTGTTGCTGAGGAGTCAGGTATATCGGTCGTTCAACGTGCATCCTGGTAAAAAGGGTCAAAGAACACTATTCAGCGTGGCTTCAGAAAGCAAGTAGTGGCCGTATAAGGAGTGCAATAATCGAACATCTCGTCAACACTAGTCATTCCATCTCAATGAACGCCTCCTTCAAAGTAATCTGCAAAGTGAACAATAACCTTCCAATGACAATACGTTTCCGTCTTCTTTGCACTGCAGAAGCCCTAGGCATTCAGTTGGAAGAAACAGAACTAAGCATAAAAAATAAAATTATTCATTCACTTTTACTCTCATGGTACCAACTCGGTTGATTTGACGTAACTTTTGTTTGTATGCTTATTTTTCTAACTACTTAAAACCCTTGCGTAATTCCGTATGTTATTTTGTTTCCATGTACACCCTGAACACAACTCTTTAATTAAACTATTCACTTTATTACGTAACTCTTCTTTAACAATAACTTGTGACAACTCATCACTTTTGTTACTATCCTATTATATCAACATCCAATTCATCTGAACTTACTAATTGTATTTCCGATTGACAAATTTAATGTACGCACACGTACAAAACAACCATATATATTTGCGATTGTACAGAGATGAAAATGAATTTGTCGAAAAGAGACTCTTCGCTGAAACACTGGTCCTCTGCCTATTAATGTTCGAATAGGAATTTTTCATGAATTAAAGCAGAAGAGTCTTGGTGAAGTAATTTCCTGTCAACGAACACAATGATGACTAGTGAGTTGCTTTTTTAATCGTTGACATTGATAACTGAAGCTCAGTTGACTTCACATTGTAACAGATGAGGAATGAAAGGTTGTCCATCCACACTATACAATAAAATATTGTTAGTCAGCTTTACACTTAAGGTAATTTTTATTAAAATTCTTCTAACTAATAAACTGGTTATGATAAACAATCATTAAGTCATATGAAGTGGTGATATCCTCACTTCACTTTGCATGGTATAATTAGAAACAGAGTAGATTGTGATTATTCTATGAATAAAGGTGAACAAATGTCTCTCAAGCAAACAACATATGGTCTTAATTAACTGGAGATGGAAGTAAACTTTTTATATAAAAAATTAAATGAAAATTTACATTTCACAGTCAATCACTCATTCAATTAATATTTGGTTAAAGAAAAGCAAAGAATACTCGACAGCTGTTTCAGTAGCACTCACCCACGACTCAATCAAGAATGTCAAACTCACGACCATCAGGCTCCATGGAGGTCACCTTATAATTCAGCTATTAGGGCTGTCACACATTGTGAGACACCAACTTGTAATCATGACATTTAGAGTCTCATGCTCTACAAACTGTGCGAACCGGGTGAGATTGCTGGAGGAAGTCATCAGAAAGTCGTCGAACTAGGTTTCTTGCTTGGTGGCAAGGTGTGCCTACGGTCTTGAGTGAACTAATATCCCTTCTGAGATTCGAAGTCTTCTTACCTAATATTGTAGTCAGAGACGTTTCGACTAAGCCATTCATGTTAGATTTCCGGCCGATGCACTCCGAAACCTTGTCTTGTTTATCAAGCAACAGTAAGCCCGAAAAGTGGAAAGATTTGGTGTAAGGCTAGTAACATCAACTGGTATGAACAACACCAAGGCTACTGAAAAGTCAAAGCCCAGTGCATGGAGTCCTATGTTCGGCTGAGAGAGCGAAGGAATGGTATAAAAGCCATGATATTTACGCAACAGTTATCTAATCGACAACTCTGAATAACCAATAACTTACCAACATTTGTCTGTTTGATGCATTTGAAGTCGGAATTATCTATTTTAACGCAGTGCATAATTATATGGTTAACTTGTTGTATTCAAGGAAAGGAGCATAAAGGAGATTTAATAAGTGGTATCTGTTAAAAGACTGCGTAAGTGCTTCCATGATTGAATCCTTGCTGCCCATGCTTGTGTTATGGATTTTACTCACTGCTGAAGCACTCCTGAACATTGCCTATTTTACTAGCTAGGAGGAAACTCAAAGAATAATGGAGATCGGGCGGTAGGCTGGTGACACCATCCGTATCGAAACTTCAAATTCTGAAGCCAAATGTTCCACCCAGAACGCCAATAATGTAAACCAATTCCTGTAAAGGCATAATTTCTAAATAAGTTAAAGTGATCACTGTGAGCTGATATGGCTGAATTCTACAAATCACGAGAAATAGTAGCCTATTTCAGTGTCTTATTGGTCGTGTTATTTTGTCTATAATATGAAAATATTGTCAAAAACAAGATTAGAAAATCACTGATTTCATCCGATTTTATACAATATTAACAATAAAAATATTACTTTCACATCTGAACTGATTTCGAAGTAATAGAGATTCAGGTACTAGAGGTAGTATGTGTTCCCAATAAAAGAATGTAGCAGCTAATCAGTGAACACTGGATGTATGACATGGTGAACTAAATTCTGTAAAGAATGAAAATCATCCTAAGGAGACAGTCTAAAGAAATCAGATGAAATTTATTTTTTCTGCGAATCATATCTGGTAATTTAATCATCTATATGAATGCACTGTCTGTAAGATTTATTTTGTGATTCGAATATGCAGAATAGTAAAAGTCTTTTGCATAACAGGACGATAAAAGATAAAGATATAGATCTTGCGTTGTTCAGAATTTGAGTAATTTAACTGAGCTACCAGCTAATGTAGTACAGAGCGGAACACAAAGTATATTGCATGCGAATGAGAGAATAAAAAGTATCTATCCCAAATTATTACTTCTATAGAGTATATTATACCATATTAGTTTGTTTATTAGATGTATCACTCAGGAAACAGTATTATTTACTGGATGACGTTTCGAACAAAATTTATTCTTCATAATCATGTCAACTGTAATCACACGACTTAGAAACCTGAGTTTTATAGTTTTCTTTGTCTTCTCCTACTTGTCGTTGTTGGGGTAGTAGAATTTTCCAAATATCAGGGACAGGTGTTGAGTCACTCCTGTTACATGTATTTGCAGCTGATTCGATAAACAAAGCTTCTGTTATCAATCTGTCCCTATACCCTGTGACATTAGATTTTAAAACTGTCATCCTGTCCCATCCATCCTATTGTGTGGTTGTGTGTAACTACATGTAGTGAGTGCTATAGCGGAACTATTCTCTAGATTTCTTATCTTATTTGGGTCAACCAATCTTGATTTTGATAGGAATTTATACTACGCTAGCCTAACTTCCCCTGTTCTACTTGTTTGACCTATGTATTTCACCTGATAATCATTGCAGGCAGGGTATTAGGTAAACTAAATTGTTTCGTTTTAAAGGCTCCACAGGATTGATGCTTTAACCGACAAAGCTTGTTTCTAATTGAGTTTGTGGGTTTTAATGCTACTTTTATTCCTGCCTTGTTAAGGATTCTGCGTAAGGCTTCCGAGGTTCCTTCCTTGTATGGAATTACTGTTGATGATTTAGATTCCTTATTGTTGGTTTCGTCATTAATATTATCATTATCACTATTATTATTACCATTATTATTATCATTATTATTGTTATCATTATTATTATGATCACTATCGCTATTACTATTATTATTACTTATTTTATTTTTACATTTCCTTACATAATTCCTGACTAATTTATCCGGGTAATTATTACGTTTCAAGTCTTCCTTTATGTGTACCACTTCCTGTCTTAGATTTTCCTTGGTACTACTTAGTTTTTGTGCTCTGTCACTTAAACATTTCACCAATCTTATTTTTACTGACATAGGGTGGGATGATCGGAAGTCCAAGTATATGTTTGAATGTGTGAGTTTTCTGTAAACATTAGTGTTTAACTTCCCATCTTCTTTCCTTTTTACTCTGCAATCTAACATTGGAAGTTCCCCTTCCTGTCTTTCCAATTCATAAGTGAATTGAACTGCCCCTACCTTCGAATTGATGTGTTCAAAAAATCTATCTATATCTTACGTTCTGAGTACAGTGAATGTGTCGTCTACATACTTCCACCATAATTTTGGGCTGGAGGGGGTGAACGTTTCAATCACTATGTTTTCCCACCTATCCATCTGTCCACCCAGAAATCTAGAAAATTCTACTACCCCAACAACGAAAAATAGGAGAAGACAAAGAAAACTATAAAACTCAGGTTTCTAAGTCGTGTGATTACAATTGATATATGATTATGAAGAATAAATTTTGTTCGAAACGTCATCCAGTAAATAATACTGTTTCACTGTGTGATACATCTAATAAACAAACCAATATGGAATTACTTACTACCATAGTGCCCAAGTTTTACACATATATTAATTTCTGGTAATTTTAGTAATATAACTGCTCTGCCCCCCCCCTCTTGGAGATTAAAGATATGAGAAATAATAATTTTTGGATAGTATTCTTGAATATTACTACTCAATATACTGTAAATGTTGTGTGAATCCGTCCTGAAATACTAAATTATTCTTAGTTTATTACCTACAAAGAGTTTACCAGAGATCAATGCTGTTTTTATAATAGGCGAAGGCATCCAATGACAGGCGTTCACACTTCACTGGGACGATTTAAAGAAAATCTAAATCACTTTTACCTAGTCTAAACAGTTCAATCTGAGAAACTCTTAATTGCTGGAGATGACGGTTTCAACTTGTTACAAAAGCTTCTAAACAAACAGAATTATGATGAATTAACTAAAAAGTGAATTCATGTGTATTTCAATGTATCTGAAGAATCTAGCTATGCGTCATATACCACCATACAAAAACTACTGTTAAAAATACCGCACTAATAAACGCTCACATTCAAATCACTTCACTTCATCGCATAATATATATTTCCTTGCTGAGTTGAATGCACCATATTCACGTACTAACAAAATTTAGTATTTCTTGACAATTGATCATTATTCAAACTTGTAAAGAGTTTATACATGAATAATTTTGTAGGTATCATGGATGGAATAATACTTAGGCGGTGCAAAAATGAACATGGAACTTCTTTCTGTTGTTGTTTTTCCCCAAAAAAAATATAAAAGGTTCATTCTTATTTTGTATTACAT